TTCACGATTAACATACATACGTCAATTTCGAAGTGACAAAATTGAAAATGACGCGGAACAATAATATGGAATAAAGAAATTAAATTTCGGAGCATGGTCAGTAATTATCCATTCAAACCTCTATTGGAATCAATTTGGTACGTATATGAAGTAATCCTTACAAATAATGCCACTATAAGAACGAATTAGTAAAAAGAAAAATTTCACGTGCAACTTTTCAATTATAAAAATTAAAATTTAAGCCGCGGCGCATGGGCGCTTTATTAAAATCACCCTAGTATGTATTAATTTTTATAAAAAAATAAGTTTGACATTTTATTCGAGTTTCCTGATTAATAAAATTAGAATCAAAGTTAGGTTAGTAAATTATACCGCGTCAAAATGAACCAAAAATTAGATTAATTGAATTAAAGTTTATCATTTAAAAATTGAATCTACCAAATTTTTCAAAATTTATCAACCATTAAAAACCATTTTCTATCTAACTTTCTAAAATAATAATTATTTTGTCACGTTCAACATTAGAAATACGTGTAATTTTTTGTATAGTTTAATATTAGAAATACGTGGAATCTTTTTTGTATAGTTTAATATTAGAAATACGTGAAATATTTGTATAGTTTAATAATAACCAGTTAAATTATAATATTTTTAGTTAGCATTTACTATTATGTAAGAAACCAATCAGTGTTCTCGGAGTAATCCTTTACACTTATACGGATCTTTCCTTTTTATTTATCAATCTTATCTTTATTATTTACACTATCTTATTTATTTATTTCGGTAAAATAAAATTTTCACATGTATTGTAATACTTTAATAATTTTTCTATTTGATGAAATAAAGATCCAATCAAGAATTATGAATGAATTTGTGACTCAAAATTTTGAACGCGAAAAATAAAAGGGAGAAAAAAGATGACACGATTAAAGAATATTATTGGATATTAATTTAGATGGTAACTTTATGGTTTATTCTATTTATTTCTATTTATTCTAATTCTTTAATTAATATTCATTCATTCATATTATTGCATTGTAAAAACTTTAATGAATTGAATGAATGAATATCGACCGATAAATAGAATACATAAATGAATGACAAATTTTTCCAATTTATTTGTTATTATGAGATGCTCCTTGTTTGAAGTAATTCTATTTTTAATATCTCTAACACTAAGGTTACAAAATTAAATTATTAGGTAATTAAATAATTAAATAACTGATTGCACGTAAAGTGTACTTCTCTGACGCCAGGGACATTTTGTTGACACTTAATTAATAACAGCAGACTAATACATAACAGATAATAAATTACATGTACTAATGTACTGTATACAAAGAAAAATAAACTTAAGAATTAGAAAACTAAAGAAAGATTTTCAAATAGGCAACAGGCAAGTATAGTTACGTACAGTACGTACGTACAGTAAACGCACAGTAAACGTACGTACGTACGTACATAAGTATGTACGTAAATTTCCTTAACAAAGATAAAAAAGAAGATTTCGGAGAGAAGTAAATAATTATCTTTTTTTGTTAAAATATTTTTGGTAACACGACTTTTTGTTTACCTAGCGCCATTAAGAATAAAGAAAAAGCAAAATTTTTTTAAAAGAAAAAAAACGCGTGATTCGTGTGATTTTATGTAATATGATAACGTGTCTTTTAAATGTAACGAAACACTAAGAAATGTTGTGTACAACACCTGATATTTTATGAAGTTTAAAGGAAAGCCAATTTTTACGTACGAATTATCGGTATTGAACTTTAAAAAGAATAAAGAGGGCAAATAATTTCTTTATAAGCTAAATCTTATAAATTTTGACTGATTAGAAATACAGCATACTATAGTAGAAAAAAGAAATTACTAATAACAAATAACAAGATCATTAAAATTACTTTATTAGGTTAATTATTTATTTATCATAATTCGGTGTCATCCTTGTTATTTTAATGTGATACATCAAAACATGTTTATCGCGTTTTTCCATTACAGATTTGTTTATAATAAAAAAGTCTAGACTTTTTAGAAATAATAGAAGTAAAGTTTATGAAACATTAAAATATTAAAAAATCAAAATATATTAATATATTAAAATATATTAAAATATTAGAATATATTAATAAAATATATTAAAATATTAGAATATATTAATAAAATATATTAAAATATATTAAAATATTAGAATATATTAAAATATATTAAAATATTAACGTATATATAGTATATATTATAAAAACTCATATGGATGAACGGATGGGATAAAAAAGACATCTATTGTTAAAAAAAATGGAGGAAAAAAAGGAAATTGTTTGATTATCCTTAAAAAGTTCCTTAACAAAACAAAATGTAAACAAACAAGGCGCTATTAGTACGGTAGGTAAATCATTACGATATTCATTGAATTCCAAGGACAGGAATTTTTTTTATCTAAATAAACAAACAATGGACCTTTCAACTCATATGAAAAAAAATAGAGATACTACTGTGTTTGTACAGTGTATGTACTATAGGTATGTAGGTATGTAAATACTTTATGATTCATACAAGTTTCGTACAAGTTTCGTACAAAATTATCCAAAAGAAATATAAGTTATTTCATTCGTCATTCGTAGTAAAAAAACGTGCGTTAAATTAATACAAATTAATATTAATAATTCACTATTAAATTCTATTATAATTCCTTAAAAATATACTTTATTTTGTTGATCTAGAGTCAGATGATAACTTTAATTTTTTTTTAGCGAATAGCATATTGTGAATGAATGCACAATTTTGGATATTAAGGGACATGACGAAAAAACTTAAAAAATTATAGTTCATAAATGATATATTTAATGAGAGGCCATATTAAGATTTATCCTTATTATGCGTTATTAATCGTTATAAATCTATAATTGATATTTGAATAATGGTGTTTTTCATTTTTGCAGTTTCTCTAATAACCTATAATAAGTTTTTGTAAATAGAGAAAATACTTCTTGTTCTAAAAAATACATTGTTTATAATTTGTTTATAATTTGTTTATACTTTGTGTAATATTTTATCGTAGCCATGATAAACTTATTGATAACTTAATATTGACAAAAATAGTATATCGAAATATTTGAAAGTTAGGTAATTATTATTTTACATACTTGTTTGTTTTTGTTTCACAGATCAAAAAGTTTTTTTGGGGTCGAATGTTATTAACACACTTATTACTGTGCTATGTATAAGATTATCATCTATCGATATCTTTTACCTGTCAAATTTTACGTACGTACGTAAGCACGTAAATAAGTATGTAAGTATCTGGTAAGTATCTGGTAATTATCTGGTATGTATCTGGTATTTGGTATCTTGTATGTAAATAAGTACGTACGTACGTACGTACTTATAAATCAGATCACAATTAACAGTTAACAGGCAATAGTTAATACTGTAATATAGTTATCCCATGATTTATCCTATTTTAATTAGTAGAATTATTGATTCTAATATTTCTAAATATTTATTATAGGTAATATTGTGTTAAAAAATTGACATTAAGGCAATATTGGCAACATTGATAAAATGGGAGTATCGAAAGATATTGTTTTATGGCGCGGTAAAAAAAAAAAAAAAAGCGGTAGTCTCGATGACATGACATTGTTTATACAAGGGGAATAAATTATACGTCATTGGTAAAAAAAAAACTGAATAATTTGAATTGTTCCTAAATTGGTAAAAAAAAAAACTAGCCACAAAACGATTATAAATACCTGTTTTTCGCCCAATTAAAAAATAATGACGCTAAAAGGACAAAAAGAATATAATACGTTTTTTTAAAAAAAAATCAGAGATTTAGAGATTTCCAGAAAAAAAAATTGTAATCCAAAAAAATCTTGTTAATCTTATTTAAATGTAGTAATGATATACCTCTATAAGATGCAGAACAGTTACTCAAAAAGAATTATCATTCAATCAAGCCTGTGCTTACTATTACACTTTGCATAAAAACGGTTAATAGTCTATCCTTTGTCTCATACTTTCATTTTCTTCACTATACATTTTTTTTTTTTTTTTTACGCATTAGAATAAAGGCTAATCGGGTTAAATTGAGATTGAAATATGTAGGAAAAACTTCAAACTTTGTATGATTGATTCCTTGTATGATAGATTAATTGATTGACTGATTGATTGATTTAATCGACTGATTAAAAAAAAAATTCGGTTGTCGCCGACCAAAGCACTATACATACATATCAGTATACAGTACGTACGTGCTCACGCGTCATCATCTGATATGTATTATACGATACTTTTTTGTGTGTGACACATTCATTAACATAATAGCGACAGCAAACACTATTATGGATAAGATTTGACAAAACAATAGGCCTTACCTATTACGTACTGTATTACATACGAATTTACATACGATTAATAAGTGACGAAATCATGATAACCTATCATTTTCGTTTCACGACAAACGAAAGTAATATAACCAAAAAGAGGTTTATTGAGAAACAGATGGAATACGTAGAAAAGTTGTACAAGAAAAAACGTGAGTGGCTTGCATATATCATAAACATAAACCTGTGTATTTGTGTGTACTTCAGTACTTGTGTGTCTTGTGTGTCTTGTGTGTGTAAACATAACCATAACCAAAATAACAACACTTACAATAATATATATCAATATATATATTTATAATATATGTATATAACAGATAATATAGTTTACAAAAAAAAACATTAAAGCCATTTTTCCGGATCAATGAATAAGAAAAAACAGAATAGGACTTATAAGAGCATAAGGTTTTTTCTTTTACAATAATGTCAAAATGTTTTAAAAAAATGCGTATAATACGTATTATTATTTGACCTACTAAATTGTTGGCGCAGATAAATACAAGTAAAGAGAATAATGTGGCAAAGATGTAATTAATTTATACAAATATAAGTTGGTACAACTATATAAAAAAAGAAATGTTAACTAAATAAAGTAATTTGGTTACATTGTTTGTATCAGACATGCAGTACAATAAGGCGTTTGCGATTAAGAAAGGGTTTATTCAACCTATCACAAAAACCATAGAAACTACAAAAACTCTCAAAGAGGAATGTTTTAATATTGTTTTAACCAAAGGTATTAATCTATACGCGGTTTATGATTCAAAAAATTCATTGCATTGCTCATTGCATTGGATTATATTGTCCTAACTCCAGTAAAAATCTAATAAAAAAAAAAAAACTTGATGACAAATTCACCGCCAGTTTCTAAAATCACCGATGACATTTTACTGTTAAATAAAGGCTATAAATACAGAATAAACAGGTTTTTTTTTTTATAGAATGAACAATATGTCGATAAATATTGAAAAAGCAATAAAAAGTAACAATAAAGACAAATTCAATGGTTTGTTCTTTTGACACAATTGATACAATTGACACATTGACATAATTTATTTGGAGATTAAATGAATGAATGTATGAAAAGTGAAAGATGATTAGGAAAAAAAAAAAATCGCGTAAAATTTTAAAACTTTAACGTGTCGACAATATCAAAATCATGTACCAATCATATATGAATAATATATTCATGATATATTAATGGTATATTAATGGTATATTACCGTTTATCGTTACGGAAAATTTTAGAAACAACCTGTTTATTGATAAAATTGCGCGTGTGATTGTTTTGATTTGCATGACTGAATTTTATAGAATTAGAAAAAAATAATAATTTAAAAATATATCAATATATATGATTTATGCAAGAATAATTTTATTTGGTGATTTCGTATACTTTATACTTTATACTTTTAACGTTTAATTCATCGAAATTTTTTTAGATTGTCAACTTTATTACTTCTGTACTTGACAGGTTTGACGCGTTCATATCCGTTAAATGTTCTCACATTTACTACATTTACTATATTTATTATTTATTATTTATTTATATTACATTTATTATATATTTTATATATATATTTTTTATTAAAAATTTTATTACATTTTACATTTATTTAAATTACGGTTACTAAATTTACTTGATGCGAAAACAAATTAAATTTTCCTTTTTCTCACATTGACCTCACATTGACAATTTGACATTTTATTCCGAAAAACTTTGTTCCGAAATTCGGTCTTAAATTCTTCTTGAAATTCATTCTAATATTCTGGTTTTAAATTATTCTGTTTGATATTCTATTTGTTTTGAAAAAAATCGGTTTCGGTTTTAACTTTGTTTGACATTCGTACAGTAGTTTCTAATAATGATATTTTTTATCTTTGATACATTATTTTTATCCTTAAATTTCACTTTTCAACTTTAATATAAAAGGTTCATTGTTAAAGTCACTATTAAATCACTATCAGTGCTAATTCAAACTTTAAAAAAAACACACACACACACACACACGCACGCACAAAACCGATAACTTTATTTTCCCGCATCCCTGCTTTAAATTATGTATAAATACATATAAATTCGTATAAATTCATATAAATTCATATAAAGTCATATAAAGTTATATAAATTCATGTGCCAAAAAATCAAGGTACAAAAAGTCATGACACAAGGAGAATATTTGTTTTTTTCAAATTCAGAAATAGGAAATTACACAAAATATACAAAATGTTAAGGAATTAATTTATTAAAAAAACATTTATAAAAGAAAAATACTAATATATATAAATGAAATTGATAAAATTGAAACTGTACATGCATACAAAAAGTACTTATCAGATTATTGAAACAAAAAAAAAAAATTATAATAACGATAAAATAATAATCGGATCAAAAAAAAAAAAATTACGTTTAATAAATCATTATTAGACTTTATTCTTTTACCATAACAAAATAAATAAATAAATAAATAAATATCGGATATTACATTGCACATGATAGCTTTGCATATTAAATTAATTCTAAAGAATGAATGTATGTATGTATCAATTGAATGAGTGAATATATTGAATATGTCGAATATGTCGAATACGTCGAATGAATGAATTAATGTATACGTATTATATATATAATAATGAATATACATATTATATAATAAATATATATATGTACGTATTTAATATTTAATGATTATTATTAATATATTACAGCATTAATATAACATGATATACGTAATTGATGAGTAATTAGTGAGTAATGAGAATAGTTTATACATGATGATACCTACCCCACCATCTTTTTTTTTGTTCTCTTCAGATCACACATTATTTATGGAGACGATTTTTAATTGATCTGCTAACGCTAATCTACGACTATCTCGACTAATCCATCCATATATATTATATTTATATATATTCTCAGAATTTCAATAAATCAATAAATCAATATTTTAATACAGTATTTTAATATCTCAATTGTAACACTATTTATTCAAAAAAAGAAAAAAGGCAGTGCACACAGAGTGGTATTACTCGGTATAAATGCGAAAGATACCGATACATGCAAATATGCAACAATTATGTATACACAGTACTGCTGTAAGTATACTGCAGAAAAATACATTGCAAAATTATATATTGCAAATACATACTTATTATATACTTTATGCAAATGCACACTTATAAAATTGGAAAAAAAACGTACGGTGGTGCGGTGAAACCAGCCGAAATGCTGCTCAGGGTCCAAAAAAAAAAAAAAAAAAAGAGTTAAAGTGTAATTCATAAATGTCGTGTTACTTTTATTTTTGTTGTTAAAAAAGAATTTTTTTACAAATTGCGTTACCAATTGAGCTGCAAATTGAGCAACTGTTGAGCAGCAATTAAGCAGCAATTGAGCTGTAATTTGAACTTCTGATACACCATTTTACTATGTACTACCAATACTATCTAAATTAGATAGGGACTATAACGAAAATCGAAACTTTATCAAACTTGAGTACCATTAATAATCTAGCATTCATGCTGTTGATAGAGCCGTTTAAAGGTCCTTCTTTGTATAATGTATGTCGTATGTATTAAATGGTAAGAAACTCGGGGTACAGCCGGCACATTAAATGCGTGTAAGGAAGGACAATGGTTTTTGTGAATAAATACTTTATTTGACCAAGTGTTGTTTATAAATTTTTTGGCACTTTGTTTACCAAAACAATTATGCATATATCGCGTTTGTATTACACTATGAAATCCTATCTATGAATCCTCTCACGGGTTGGGTTGTTAGTCCGTTCAATTTTCGGTATTTTTGTTATTTTCTGTTATTTTCGTTACTTTAGTAATCTTTCCTTACCATGACTAATACAATTGTTCCTGGAAATTTTCGTTATTATTATTTCCGATTCACTCCATCATCATCATATTCTATGAATCTATAATATATATATATATATTATTTAAACAATGTGATTCATTGTTTCAATAAACGAAAATTATTCCATACTCCGATGATTTAAACTCATAATAAATTTATATGGAAATAAACAATTTTTATTTTTGTAATTTATTTCGCTCATCTTGTTTAAATTTAGAAAAAATATACATAGATACGCCACCGTACCCTGGGTAAAAAAGATTCTGGATTACAGTCGTCAAATATACCAATATCGATATATAATACTGTACATACAGTACTGTATATACAGTTTATACACTATATCAGTTCAGTATATTAGTAAAAATTATACACTGTATACTGTAGGATTACTACAGTAGTAATATAGGATTATCAAATTTTATTCTATAAAAAAAATAATCATTATTTAAAAACTAAATTTATTGTGTAGCTATTCTTTTAATGTATTTATTGTCTGCTGTTAACATATAAAAAAGGTTACGATTAAAAATTTTTTTATAAGAATCGATTTAAAAAAATAAAAATAAGGTTTACTTACTGTACGCCTATTGTTCAAATAAGATTACTCCGATTACCATCAGTATGTGGGGGGAAAATAAATCCGGTATAGTACCATTTTAAATTTAGTCTTTGATTGGCTGATTTTTTCATGTTCAAGGATTATCTACTACAAATCTAATCCATATTTAACGAAGAAATTTACTTTATACAATATATTTACTTTTTGATTTTGGGGTAATTTAAACTTAATAGAAACTTATTAGCAAGAACCTGGTCTCACCAAAAATGTGACTAAAAAGTTACAAAGGAAGGTAAGCCTCCTACTACGGACAATAAAAAAAAAAAAAACAAATATCTATAACTGAAAATCACTTTCAAAAAAATTTTTATACTTTAACCTTTTCGTCTTTCTCACGGGCAATTTTTTTTTTTTTTTTTTTTTTTTTGCCTGCTATTTTTTTCTTTATAAAATCAATATCGGCAAGAAAAAAAAAAAAAAAAAAAACTTGCCACTTGCCTTTTAATCAATACTACACCAAAGAAGGCTTGCAAATGAATAAAGTCAAGCAGTTTTTTTTTTTTTAACATAGTATATTTATCAATATTACCCATTCCATAAAACAATAGGAAATAATATACTGCCTATACTTTTCTGTCTTCGTACAAACAAATCCTACCAAGAACAACTTGAACAAATATTTTATTTTATTTTAAATATTGAACAACTTTAAAAACTTTAAAAACCGAAACAATTTACAAACAAAAACGCCTTTTTTAATCATATATACATATACTGTATATATATTCGCTTTCTGTAATAAGTAGGGAATCATAAATTAAAAGAGTTGTAAAGTAACTATTCATATACTTTCTCTCTTTTAATTTAAGATATATATTAGACTTTCAAAGCGCATAGTTTAAAAAAAAAGTTTAAATAGAGCTGCTTCCCCACAAACCTGCCAAATTCACTCCTAACAAAGGATTCATCAAAAAAAAAAAAAAAGGATTTTCATCTTTTTTTTTCCTCCTTAAATAAAAATATTTCTTATTTATATATTATAAATACTTTATTAAAAAAACGATAAACTCCTATCGTTTTTTTCTTTTCTTTTCTTTTTTTTTTCTTATAATTTCTTTCTGTATATTTTTTTTTTTTTAACGACACAACTTAAAGAATCATGACTGAATATCTTAAGGCAAAGTTTGTAGAATGGAGTAGTAACGCAAAGATAAACAAGTACTTGCCAACTCCTCCTTTATCGCCTGATCTTAGTCCTACGGGTTCAATGTCCTCTTTCAATAATGGTTTATCAAAACGTTCAGAACTTGGTCAAGAAACGCCAAGGTCCGCTTCCCCAAGTTCTGATCCAAGCAGTGCTTTTGATAATGTTACCCAAACTCCTGTTACTGGTCGTCTCTCTGTTACCATAGTTGAAGGTAGAAAATTAAACGTTAGTAACTTTCAAGCTCGCCCATATTGTGTCGTAGAATTCGATCGTAATGAATTTGTTACTCGTGAAGCTATTCGCGATTGTGATGTTCCTGCTTCTCGAAATGGAAAAATCGAATTCTTGGATCTCGTTCGTGCTGCTACTAGTCCTGTCTGGAAGCAAAAAGCTGTCTTGTATGTTTCTTTCTTTCTTTCTTTCTTTCTTGTTGTTGTTTATCGTTCTTAACTATTATAATATATAATAACTATTATAATATTATAATATAATATATATATATATATATATAATATAATATATATAATATTATAATAATAATACAAGATTATAATATGATAGTATGATAACATGATATCATAGTATGATATGATAAACAATAATCAATTCAATTCACTCATTCTTTATTCACTCACTCATTCTCTTTATTTATTTAGTGACGTTGCACGTTTAGATGGCGAAGTTCACGTGTTGGTATATGAACGTGTCCCTGATCATACCAAGCCTGAAGTCTTTTTGGGTATGTTGAAAATTCAACCTCCCAAAAATTCTAATGCCACTGTTGATGGTTGGTTCAAGTATGTATTATTATTATTATTATTATTATTATTATTATTATTATTATTATTTATATTTGTACTTTACAAATATTTCTTTTAAATATGTTTACTAATTATTATACATTTATTCTTTTAGGTTGTTGCCACGCGGAAAGGAATTGGTAACTGGTGAATTACACGTTCAAATTGCTTATGAAAAGGTTGAAATTGAGGTATGTTAACTTTATATCATTTATTATTTATTATCAATTATTATCTATTATATAATATTTAATATTTAATTTATTCATTTATTATTTATTTATTTATTTAGAAATCGCATCTAAAACCTTCATCGTTTGAAATTCTTAAACTAATTGGCAAAGGAAACTTTGGTAAAGTTTTCCAAGTTCGTAAAAAGGATACAAATCGTATCTACGCCATGAAGGTTCTTCATAAGCAAGATTTAATTGAACGTCGTGAAGTTGAACATACTTTAGCTGAAAAGAATATTTTAATTCAAGCTGAAGCTTGCCCATTCTTAGTGGGTCTTAAATTCTCTTTTCAAACTCGTACTCATCTTTATTTGGTAACCGACTTCATGAATGGTGGTGAACTATTTTGGCATTTACAAAATGAAATTAGACTTTCTGAAGAGAGAGCTAAATTTTATGCTGCTGAAATAGTTTTGGCTTTGGAACATTTACATAAATATAATATTGTATACAGGTAAATTAATTATCCTTTTCTCATTCTTATTCTTCTTTTCATGCAAATTAAATTCTTTTCTTATACTAATAATCAATTCTTAAAACTTTAGGGATCTCAAACCTGAAAATATCTTGCTTGATGCTACTGGACATATAGCACTTTGTGATTTTGGTTTATGTAAGGAAAACCTTGCTGCTGGACAAACGACTAATACTTTCTGCGGTACTTCGGAATACCTTGCTCCCGAAGTTTTAGCAGAATGTGGCTATGGTAAATCTGTCGATTGGTGGAGTTTAGGAATATTGTTCTATGAAATGATTGCCGGTTTCAGTCCATTTTATACAAACGATACTCAGTTAATGTACCGAAAAATTCTGTTTGGAAAATTAAAATTCCCAAAGGGCTTTTTCAGTGAAGATGCTAAAAGCTTAATAAAAGGGGTACGCATTTTTTTTTTTTTATCTTGCTATTTGTAATAACTTTAATCAACCTTTTACTTATTTATTTTATTTGATTTTTTTTTTTAATAGCTTTTGGCTCGAAATCCTCATAATAGGCTCGGCTCACATAACGATGCCGAAGAAATTAAAAATCATCCTTTCTTCGCTAATGTTGATTGGGATGCTTTGTATCGTAAACAAGTTTCTCCTCCATACAAACCAAATGTTTCCTCAGAAGACGATACTTCATGCTTTGATCCTTCTTTTACTGAAGAAGAAACTAGTATTGAAAATTGGCCTTCTGTAACTAAAAATTTAAGTCTTAATGGAACCAATGTATCGATAAATAGTGAAATGTTTGGTGGCTTCACCTATTCTGGTGAAAATCAATGTGGTCTGAATCCTTACGGCGATTATCCTCTTGAGCTTGGTTACGATTTTGATATTGGCAGTCCAAGTTCAACTTCTTCTTCTAGTTCAGGCAGCTGGAGGAATCCAGTGGAATCTTATTAATTCAGTATTGAAAAATTTGAACATTTACAGTTTGTCGCCAAAATGCGACAACTCGTAATACTTGATACTATTTGAACATTTGTACTATATTCTCTTTTCTTTTTCTTTTTTTTTTTATTCTCTTTTGTGTATATCAGCTTCGTTTTTTTTTTTTTTTATTACTATTATATTATTTCCGACGCGTCTTAATACTTTACCCTTATTCTTTGAAATATGCATCCGACATCACCCCTATATACCTTGCTATTTTTTTTCCTAAAGCATACACAACCTAAATGTGTCCCTTTAAAAAAAAAATACGCATTGCACCACAAATATTTTTAAGATTTATTTTTTTTCTTTCTAAGTTGATTAATATTTTCCAAAGAATATTTCTCAAAAGAATATTTCTCAAAAGAGTATTTCTCAAAAGTAATGCACCATTTCCGCGCTACTTTTATTTTTTATTATTTTTTATTATTTTCTTTTTAATTTTTTTTAAAAGTATTATACCAAAATGTAAATAAGCTTAATTCTTTCTATACCTATGACTGGCGAGGTTTTCCTTTTTTAAAAAAAAAAAAAAAACCCACAAAAAAAACTCCCCTTAAAACATCACAAAAACCAAAATGCGGTTCTTTTAGAACCCTTTATTGCTTTATTCTAACCTCGCCACTATTCCGACTATGATATTAGGATTTCCTAGTTATTATTATTTTTTTTTTTTATTTGGTTCTGGAAACTTGAAGAATATTTGGTGGTCATATTCGCCTATTGAAAAAATGGTGTGAACACATACCTACCGGAATAGGCGAATTTGACGTAATTCTTGGAAGGAAAAAAAAAAAAAAGAGAGGGAAATCCAATAGATATAGATAATTTGTAAATTTTTTTTATTTCTTTTTTATTACCAAAACCTATCAATCAATATTTTGTGTATTCTCTACAAGATCAAATGGATCTTTAGAGGATTTTATTTGGCAAGCCCAAATTTTTTTCCCTGATCCATACTTTTGTAACTTATATATCAAAAAAAAAAAAAAAAAAATTCTATCCCTCCAATATATACTGTATAATTTCTCTAGTTAAATTTCTTGTAAAATATGTAAAAAAAAAACTAAAACTTTATAACTTTCTAAAAAAATTTTAAAGAAAAAAAACATCAAAAAAAAACAGAATAATGATTTTAAAAATAATTACAAAAAAAATAAATAAATAAGAAGAACACAGCTTTTAATTCTAAAAAAACAGTCTGTCGCGAAATTTATTTTATTATTAAATGTAAAGTGTCTAAGAAAATTTTGAAATTTTGAAATCTTGAAAAAAAAACGCGAACGATCCCAAAAGAAAACGTGACTTTAAATCAGCTGATTTAAAAAGTTGCGTTACCGTCTATTGTTATTCTTATCTATTACAGGATTACAAAATTACTAGTTACTGCATTTTTCAAGATAATCCGATCTCACTTGATACCATAAACTCAAGATAAAAATGAAAGCACTTAATACTTTGTTGGCAGTGATCATATCATGCGGGGTCTTCATGACTTATTTATGATTTAATCGGATTTATATACAACCGATTAATCCGAATTTTAAATTTTAAATTTTAATCGGTATTTCATTATTAGTTTATAATTTACTATGTCGGTAATAAAAAAATTACGATTTTTCAATGTTAAAAAATGTGTTGATTGTTATAACATTTTTTAACAATATATATAGATTCTTATTTATAATTATAATTTACGACAATTTTAGTCTTGAAATGACCTATATTCAGTATAAACTTTAACGTAATGTTCTAGAGCTGAGGCGTTCGTATCAGTTGTTAGAATTTGTATATCAAAGGTTTGACTTCGTGCATACTTATAAAAAAAATGTTACTGTAGTTTAAACTTTGCTAATATTAAATATAATCAAATCAATTACTAATCATATTATTTGGATATACTGTATTAACATATATTAATTTTATTAATTTTTAATTTTAGTTATGTTTAGATTATAAAGCAGTTAAAAATTTTTTTTAATAATCTGAATTTATATTTGAGTAAAAAAAAAAGTTTTTTGAAATATATTTTTTTAGTTTAATAAAGTATATTTATTAAAATTATTAAAATTGTATAATCGCACTGCGGTATATTTATAATTATACTGTATAATTAATATACGTATATAATTTGAATAAAATATATTGTAGATAATAAATACTTACTTTAAATTAATTGATTATTTATTGAAGTGTTACTTTATTTAATATTTTACTTTAATTTTATAATATATAATACAAACTATAATTATAAAAATTTTTGTTTGGTTAAAATTATTTTTTATATTCTGTTTTGACTTTAATATATATATTTAAAAAAAAAAAATTTATATTTGTTTTAATATTGATTATTTATTTACAAAAATTAAGTTTTAGAGTAATAAATTAATTAAATAGGCTACTGTTAATAGAAATAAGACAAATTAATATTTTTTTAATAAAAATTAACAAAAACTATATATTATACCTGGGTTTTCAACACCACAATAATGAGCTATAGTGTAATCAAAATAATTTTTATCAAACCAAAAATTAAAATTAGAGTTAAGAATTAATGAGACAAAAACTTAGTTTATACCAAAATTTTGCAAGAAATTTTTTTTATTAAAGCTCAAAAAGTGGTTTCATAGATAAAATTTTAAGCTATACTTTTTTTTTAAAAAACAAAAAAATTTACATTACACTTGATCTTTGTATTACACTGCAGCTTATAATAAAATCTATTGTAGTGTTTAACACTAGTAGTGTAATTTAATAATATCAAAAATTAATATCTTTATTTTTATAGCTAATATCTTAATTTATTTTGAAGCTATTTTAATTATTTAATATCAAAAAAAGCTTTTTTTTTTAAATATAAATTATCAAAACAATCTTAAATTTTATTAAAATATCAAACTGGTTTATTTCTATTAATAGTATTCTAAATAATCAAACCTATATTAGCTATATTAATTGTTTTATTATATTTAAATTTTATTAAAAATATTTATTTTATAATTTTTTTAGTTAAAAATGATATAGTTATAATGTGTTTTAAATTTTAAAATTAATAATTGTAGAAGATCATAGTAAATATTATCATAAATTGCCGGATACAAGATCCAGATCTCTTTTTTTTTTATATAATTCAACAATCCTGCTAACACTTTATTAGTATAATATATAAGCTTACGTAAAAGTATAATATAATAGCCAAAGTCTATTTAATTTCTTTAAGTGTTTGCTACCCTAACTCTTTGCAACACCAAAGATGTCCAAATTGCCTATGTTCGATCTGCTATAGTAAAGATTATCTCTATATCGACTACCCTATAATTAGATGTTTTAATACTTTCTCGAATAGATTTATGGCCTATTAAGATTGCTTCCTTTTTTAACCTTCTTCTTCTAGCTTCCTAAGCAAAAGAATTCATAGTCTTTAACTGACTTATGAAAAAAAAAAACTAATACTAAAACAAAAAAAACAAAAAACAAAATGAAGGAAAAGTAAAAAGTGCTAAAGCAAAAGAAAATGAATAACAAAAATAAATAAAAGAAGAAGAAAAAGGCAAAAAAGAAAAAAGTCTATAATAACACTATTATAGCCCATTCTAGACACAAGTTGTAAAATTATATACTAAAATTAAATTTTGTATATCTCTAATGTAAAGCTAAGCCTTATCGTTAAATTTTCTTCTAACTTATAATTCTGAGGTTTGACTGAAACTCTTAACCAAAGCACCAATATTATATCACGTGGTGTAGAGTTACTATTGAAACAAATACACATGAGTTTGCCAATTTCATGTTGTGCTCTACTAAGCCTATATAAAAAAAAGAAAGTAAACAAACACTGATCTTTTAGAGAGGGTAAGCTGGAATGCACACTTTTGTCAAAAATTTTGGCAAAGGTAGCAAGAGGCAGTATAGGTGAAAAGAACTACTAGTTTTAAACCAAAAGAGTGTGTATACTTTTCTTGCAAAATGTACTAGTAACTTGTCAACCAAGTGAAGAGCAGGTACTTAAAAAAAACATTAACAAGTAAGTGATAAACTCTGGGCTTGTTGGCAAGTAGTATATGAGAACTACTTCTAAACAACAAGTGCTTTCTATTACTGCAGCAAGTGATAAACTCTAACCTGTTAGTAGACAGCATATGAGAACTACCTCTAAATAACAGGGGTTGAGGTTCTCTGACTTATCTTACTTATTACTTTTTCAACTAGTTATAATATATTTATTAAGAAATATTTTTAAAAAAATTTGAGACAAATAATTTTTAAAAAGAGTTGAATGAAATTAAAATAAATTTAAAATAAAAACCTGGGTCTCTTATATTTTACTGATTTTAAATCCTATAATAGATCTTGAATCTAGTATGTAGCCAAGAGTGCATGTCACTAAGAGAAAAACTTTAAAGAGTATATATGGTTTGTATTTATAATAGACAATTTAGATATTTAAAAAAAACTATATTTGATTAATATAGATTTCATAATACATATCCAGGTATACTATATGGTGGGTCTACTATTATGAGAGATCTTGTATCTGGCAATTTATAGTGAATATTTTGGCTAAAATTATAATTTTCCAGTTTAGGATTAGAGTTAGAGTTTCTGTTAGAGTTAAAGTTAGAGTTTTTTTATTTTATATAAGATATTCTAAATTTAATTTATATATAATATTTATAATAATCATTAGAACTCTTTCCAATGATCATATGTACCAAAAAATCCAAACACATTTTTTGTAAAAATACAATAGTATATAGTAAAAAACAGAGAGTATAAGTTGGCAGTTGTTATTTAAAGGTAGTTCTCATATACTATCTGCTAACTGCTTTAGAGTTTACTACTTACTGCATGTATAGTACTTGTTGTTTAGAAGTAGTTTTTATATGCTACTTGCTGACAAGTTTAGAGTTTATTACTCATTGACAAGTAATATATAGGTGCTTCACCTCTTTTCTAGAAAAAGGTTTAGAAGTTGTTGAGTTTTTTCATAGATGTAACTACTTTTCTTGGGTGCAAGTGGTCTCTTTCTAGGTGTTTTTTGCTTGGCCAGTCTTCTCTAAAATTTTTGACAAAAAGTGGGTAATTTGGTTTACTCCTTCCAAAAAATTGGTATTGTTTACCTTCCAAATTCAGATATACTCAAAAATGCAACCATGTGCCTTGTTTATCAGTAGATATGATACACAACGTAATTTGTGGATATGGGTTCTCCACGTAATTAGAATCAGGTTTTTGGCATAAAAGGCATCTAGAAGTGGCCAGTAGTTAGATAATAATTTGTTAGGTTTTATACTATTCGAGATATACAAACATTGTAGTTGTTATAAAATTTTTTTTTAAACCTAACACAGGTTATAATAGTGTAATTTTCTTTTTTCTTTTATTTTATTTGTACTATTTTTTGATAAAGGTAGCTCTCTCTTTGTTGACCCTTGGGTTTTTCTCTTTGTTTTTCTTTTTTTACATTTCATTGTATCTTTTTTTACTATTTCTTTTAAAAATTCATCTTTGTTCTATTTGTTTTTTTTTAGTTAGTTTTTTATTTTGTCTTCTTGTTATTATAGATGGTTTTGTATTAGATATAAGATCATTACTTTTTTTTGCTCTTAGTAAAAAAAGAGAATATAAAGAGAAAAGCTTTAACAGGCTGACAAAGTTTATCTAACTTGTATATAGATTGGTGCGACAAGTTGCATGAGAGTACATTTATCACAGCTAGATGATGTCAGGCTCGCAATTATAAAACTCCTTGTTTAGATTATGAATAATATGTATTGTTTGAGAGAGTTTACTCTCACCAAAATATAGTCTTAATAAATTGAGCACTGGCAAGACTATTAAAGAGTTAAAAAAAAAAAAAAAAAAAAAAAAAAAAAAAAAAAATTTATAATAATCCAATATTTACTATAATCTTCAACAATAATTATTATTGTATATATTTTTTTTTTGCTCTTTAACAGTTTTGCCAGAGCTTGGATAAAATACTTTATTTAAACAAACTTGAACAGAATGAATAATACAAGTATAACAATTTCAAACCCGACATTACCTAGCTACATCTAGCATGTCTAGAAGCAACTTGTTATATCAATCTACATATAAGTTAGAAGACCTTGTCAGCTCACCAAAAGCCTATCCTTTTATTTTTACTTTTTTCACCAAGAGTATAAGAAAATAATGTTCTATATTTCTAATACAAAAATATATATCAAGAAGAAAAGAAGTTTATATACAAAAAAAGAAATAAAACAAAAAAGAAAAATACTAAGGAATAAAAATGTGAAAAACAAGAAATATAAAAAAAGAAAAAAACAAAGAGATAAGCCCAGACAGGCTAAACAAGAAATGCTATTTCTAGTAAGAAACAGCAGCTACCTCTATCAAAAAATAGCACAAAAATGAACAAAAGAAAAAGATACACTATTATAATTTATACCAGAAATATGTAAAAATTATATAGCAAATACAACATTTGTATATTTCTTTTAATCTTCATTTCGACATTAGTTTTTCTTTTTAACCTAGTGACTAACTCTGGAATATATTCACTTTGCCCTAATTTATATCTCGAGCCACATGCCACTGCTATCTGTGAACTTATATTTCAAGCCACCTGCTATTAGAAGAATATTATTTGGAACCTATCCAAAATAGTAGTACCATATTCATTGAACATGTGATTGTAATCTACTTGGCTGTCTGAATTTGAAATATAAACACTGACAATCTTTTAAGAGGGTAAGCCAAATCTCTAAATATCTTCTGTAGGCAGAAAGAGACCACTTGTATGTTTATAAAAAACATGTTGAGAAATAAAAGCTTTTTGTTGTTCTTCTTGTCTTTTCTATTCAACTTCTAAGAGACTTCGTTAACAAAAACCCTTCTCTATTCCAGGACACTATCTGTACCAAAATTTTCTATACAGAGCGCCACCTGCTAGTTATCTTGTATAGAAATCCTTTTGGCTTGCATGTCGAATATGCAAAGAATTTCTTTACACCTCTACAAAAACCACCTTATTAGTTTTGCAAAACAACCTTATCTTCAACAAAATTTTATTTCACTTTGGATAAAAAATTTGAGTACAGGTGATCATTAGATTATTGCATATTTTACTATTAGTTAATATTATTTAGAGATTTTAAAAATAGTGCATCTGTACCACAGTGCACCTCTTTATATAATAAAAATACTAGTACATGATATTTTTTAAAATTCAGCATAACAATAATAACAACACAAGTCACGTGAGTCACAATTAGAGCAGAACCGGTTTATTTTTCATGGGTTAAAACTGATCAAAACCGGTTTTAATATATAAAAAATAAAACTGGTTCCAAACTTTAGTTACAATAACAATAATGTATATTCAAACAGTTACTTTATTGTCACGAAATAATAAGCATGGACACTCTTGCATGTTAAATACAGCAATAAACTATGATTTGTATTCATTAAGCTTGTATATATCAAGTTATAATCACATTAGAATAAACATATACATATACTATATATATAGTTATCTAAACCCTACCTTTCGTACTAATACATACTAATTCATAGCATATATACATATATACAAGAACAGAAATATATATGATAAATAAAAGAAGTATTGTATTTTATCTGCAATACTTTTAAACCAAATCTAACTACTTTATATGTATATATTACTATATAATAGATTTCAACCTATAGCTAATCTTTATTTAATAAAGAACAAATTAAAATCAAGCATAATGCAAAACTTATATCAAGTACATGTGCAAGTGCTTGTCAATTTCTATTAATATTTTCTTTAAAAAACCTTACTCTGCCCGTAATCTCACATACTTACCTTATGTTTTATTTGGACAAGTCACAACATTATGGCCTGGTTTCTTACAAAATCCACAGATATATGGCTCATGTTTTTTTTTACTTGTTTTCTGTGTTATATCTTTCATGATATCCTTATTATGATAACTTGCCCTCTTTGGCCTTCCTCTACCAATTACTTTTCGAGGATTCTCAAGTTGAATTGTATTAACTTCTGTGTTTTCAATAACATTTTGACTAGTCGAAGTATTTGTTACATTTTCTTGTGTTTTGATCGATTCTTCCTCTTTATCACAAACCTTATTCAAATAATTTTCAATTAATAAAACAAATTCATTATTATAAATAACATGTATTTGTTTACAGTAGTATATGCAAGGCTCTAAACTTTCCCATAAAAAAGCAATTCATTGACGAAATCATCATTTGTAACCTCTTCTGTCTCATCATTAATGAACGGTTGCAACCATATGTGCTTGCTTATGATTATATTCACATCAGTAGCTTTATTTTTTGTACTACTAAAACGTTGACCAAAGTGTACACATTCATTTGCTGCATCTAATCGTTGGTGTTTTGGAATCCAACGTGGCACAATTAATTGTAAACTAAACTGTGCCTTGTCAGTAATGTTTAGAAGATGATAAAAATATCGACACACAAGCCTTTTTTTTTGCTGCAGCAAACAGGTACAGCTATATGAACCATCTGAAAAAAGAAATATTAAGTAGTTAACCCCATTGCCTGTGACTTTTGATACTTTCCAAATCTCCACAATCAAATTTTGTTCCAAATGCTCTAAAAGATACATAGTACACATAACAATAGCATTAAGTTCATCATCAATATCTTCACTTTGTGAATGATTGGAAGAGGTAAATGATTTGACTTCTTCAATTGTGGTATAACTAGTAGTGTAATATAAGTTTTTCTTCATCTGTTTAACTAAGAAATATGCAATATTTGGTCTTAGGTAATATTTAACTAAAGATTCAATGGAAGGAAAAATAGTAGTTGCATTTAACGTAGTAGGAATTCCTCTTTTCCATTCCTCAAACTGCTTTTTTTTTGTTCTTCTTCACTACATTTCATTAATACTTTACCTAAGTCATATAGTGACGTATTGCTAGTTTCTAACACTCATTTAATACACACATTCTGACTTTCGACAAATGATGTTGTCTAAATACCAAGAGTAAACATCATGGCAGTGAAAGCACGTGTCCATGAAATCTTCTATCATAGAGATAGCGTTCAAGGTATAGTTTTGCATCAGAAAAGCTTATAAGTTGATTTCAATAATATTTAAAGACTTTTAGTGTATCTGCATTTCAGCATTTCCAGAACTTATTATAAAATTTATCAAACTGACTTCCTAACTTTTTTGCAACATTTTTTTAATGTTCTCTTTGATGTGCCAAATGCAAGAGAGATGTTGAGTCTCTTGATACTCCAAAATTATTGCATGTTCTATTGCTAGATCACCATTAGTCACAAACATACAAGGACATTTGTTATTTGTTGCCTTCTTGATCATTTTAAAAACCCACTGATATGTTTCAGTTGTTTCATTGCTGACAAAGGCCTGAGCAACAATATGAGACTGCATGTTATCATCCTGTATTATAAATAATGAGAAAGGCATATTGTATCTGTTAGTGTCTGCAGTATTATCATGCCCAACTGTCTCATTAAATTCACACCATAACATAATTTGTTCAGAACTTATTCAGAACAAATTAATTAAAGTATTAGTCTTCTTTTCCCACAAAACCTCAACAAACTAGCGAGAATCTTCCTGTTGTTTAGATAATAACTGTTCATAAAACTGTGATATGTCACTTTTAATTACACTAGATGATGGTCGACACTATTGTATTTTAGCATAAAGGTCCTTTGCAAATAAAGGATGAGATAGAAACTTCTCTTTTAATATACGACGCAACATAGTTGCGCCAAGACGATATCTAGTGACAAGAAACTCAATTTCTTTCTGCATTTCTTCTGTAAACAGCTTATTTTTTTCAAACTAAATCGCTTTAGGTGATAATTCATAGTTATGAGTATTAACAAGAGTGGTGATGAATACATGAAAACTCTTATTACTCTTTGTAAGACATGAAATATTAACATGCCATGGGCATAGTATCTGAGCCGAAGTACTTGGCTTTTCAGAATTTTTTGGTTTAGACAAACCTGAGTGTTTACAGAGAATTGTCCTTTTATGAACTTCATTAACATTTTCTGCTATATCTATCATTTTCACATGTCCAAGTCATATTTTGAATCCTTTGTATTCGGCAAATTGACATATACAAAGTTTAGCTTTATCAAAGTCATCAAACGAGTCACCTTCTTTCAAAGATACCAACTCCACATTGTTAATTATGTTACTAACATCACTAATGTCCTTATTACAACAGAAAGATTCTTCGAAGTACTCTGAAACATTAATGTTGTCGTCTTCATTATGATCTATAAATACAATTGTTGTTTAATTAAGGTAATTCTGGTTGGTTTGTAAAAAAAACTGATTTATAAGCACAAGGTTAGTAATACAAAAAAGAGTCATAACGGTAAGCTATTTTGAATCCAGGCAAGTGAAACCTCAAATAATTATAACCCCGACAGAATGCTAATTTATTCTGAGCTATAACTATTTGAGGCTTAGTATCAAACCCATAATATTTTTGACAAATGCGCATTGGTGTTCTTGTTTTGAATAATCTAGGAAAGTTACTGTAGTAGCCAAATAAGTTCTGTTTGAGGGTTGAAACTGTTATGTTGATCATGACGTAAAGATGTAAAGGTGGTAGGTATTAGGTATATTCATTTAACATTACAATACATATGTGTAAATTCGAACGCGTGTAAATGATCGAACATGTGTCATTATGATCAATAAAAATACATGGTCTGGTGTAGATCATCTAAAAGAGGTGCACCATGGTGCATGGTGCATCAAATTATAAATTTCATAAAATAAATATATTATTAAAAAAAAATAATATTTAAAAAAACAACATTTAAAAAACTAAAAAAAAAAATTAAAAAAACTAAATATTTTAAATTAAAAAAATTTAACCAAATTAATTAGAAAAAAATCATTTATATAAATTAAAAAAAAATTGATTAAATTATTGCTTTTTTTAATTTAGTTAGACAATTTTACAGAATAGTTATATGAGTTATAGTTTAAATTTAGCTAAATAAATATCAGATATACAGCATAACTATATAGATATAATTACTACAATTTAAACAAAAAAAAATTTTATAAGATTTTTTTAGATATATATAGTATATATAGAATATAAAGTACTTTTTTAAAACATGACAATTCACTACATACAATTTTGTAATACTAACCTTAATACAATAATACATAATGCCAGTATGTATATTAAAAATAGTATTTAATACTCTATATTAGTTTATAATAATTTAGAAATGTTTTTGGCAAGTAATAATTATATGTACTAATATAAATAAGAATCTAACTAAGAAATTAATTATCACTAAACTAAGACTAAGAGTACTTGAATAGCTATTAGGATTATTCATAAGTACTATAATTAATTAAAGCAATTTCTACTGTAATTTTGCTATCTATAACAAAAAAAGATAGCTTTATCCTTTTTTTATTATTGATAATAAATCTACTTATAGATTAAATTGCTTTCTACAATTAAAAATGGAGTTCTGACTTATAATTTATATACTTGAGAGAACCTTAAATCATATGAATAAAATTAAAACAAGATATTAATTAGTATATATATTAATTGATAATATTCAATTGATTAAATAAGAAAATATTTAATTGAAATACTATATAAAAACCTATTATAAACTTATAACAAAGAGTTTTGTAAACCAATTTCAATCTATTAAAGATTTTTAGAGCTATTAAGTTGTAGCTCATTGGCTTTGGTCACTCTAACCCCATTGTGCATTAACAAAAGAAACTATCAATGTTATATAACTGTTCCTTTATCTGTATGCAATATTTAAAAAGATTATTTTGCAATAACTAAATTATTCTGCTATATGTTATAATTATAATCTCACACTATTTTTATTATAATAAAATAGTATAAAATTATAATTATAATATAATCTAGCAGAATAATCTGGTATTGTAAAATAATTCTTTATATGTTGCACACTAGATAAAAGATCAGTTATATAATATTAATGGTTCCTTCTACTATTGTGCTAAAGCCGGCTTTGGAATAAGCTATTAATGACTCTGAAGACTATTATCTAAAGGCAGTTAATAGTAAATCTATATTTGGGTTGGACTATCATTATTATCAAAAGTAGTTGAAGTAATCATTAAAGGAAGTTTTTATTATCAGATAATATGCAAATTTTCTTTTATATAGTTTTTTCAGCTTTTTTAATTAATAAATAATAAGAATCTGTTAAATCTAAGATAAACTTATTAATATATATATGTTTCTAAAATATAATATATACAATAATATAAAAATAAACTTATCAAACCTTTCTGAAGAATAAAAATATTGTAACTTTTTTTGTTTTTTTTAGTAATTGCACTAATAAATGATTTGTTTGCTAATATAATATTTCTTATAATACATCTATTAGCTTTCTTACAGAGCCTTACAATTTCAATTATTATTAAATTTGTGTATAACTTATAAATAGTTTTTAATTTATCAATTCGATTTAAAAGATTTATAATTGTATTAAGATCTATTTGTACACTCTTTTCTATAAGTTTTTTATAAACTATATCTTTAATATTTTTAGGTTTTATAACACTTTCTTGTATATTATAAATACTAACTATATTTTGCTCTTAATGTTTCTGTTTTTGTTTTTATTTATATAAGTTAAGCATCTAATATATATAAAATTTATTAATTTGGTCATAATTTAGCAGAACAAATATTTTTTTGAATTTGATTGGGTTGAATAATCGAATTCTATTAATAAATATTTGGTAAGAAAATTTTTTAAGTAATACTTGTTATTAAGTTACAATATATAAACAGACATCATATCATTATTATTCAGGTATAAAATGCACCTATGGTGTTCAACACTATATATAATTGTTTTAATAAAATTTAGGGTTAGGTGCATTTTTATAATTTTTTTTTTATATATTATGATATATATTAGATATAAGTTTCTAATTTCAGTTTTGTAAGGTTTTGGGGATTTTAAATATTTTTACTTAGAATACCCGATCTAGTTTACTTAATACGTTTTTGAGAAATAGGGATCTATGGTGTTAAACACTATAGATGCAGAATAGTAGTGTTATTATTATTAACTCATTAACTATGAATAATATATTATATTATTAAAACTTTGGTAAGTAATTAATTCCAACTCTATACATATATAACTAATCATTATGGCTATACTAGGCTTATTTTGGAGAAGTAGTTGCCAGAAAAATATTGTTGAAGAAATAGGTGTATGACCAAAGTATACTCAATCTATTCAAACCCAAACTAGTTTGCAAACTTCAAACCAAGCTCAAACCAAACATAGGTTTGAGTTTGAAGTAGATTCGAATTAGGTTTAAGTAATATTTTTATAGTTTGAGTTGATTAAATTGATATTTAATCAAACCTAAACCAAATTTAGAAGCCCTAGTCATGAGATATGATCTTATCTTAAATAAAAAAAAAATTTGTTAAATCTATATTTTTAAGTTTAAAAATAAAGAAAAAAAATTAATAAATTTGTTATAAAATAAGCCAAGAAAAATGTTTTACAAATTAACTTGATATCTAATTAATACAGTATAAGGTTTTATTTAATAAATACTATAATTATTAAATAAAGTTCTCTAAAAAAAAATTTGATATTAAGAGTGTAGTAATGTAGTAACGTTTTGAATAATTTACTTGTATTATAGTAATGGCTTATTCTAAATTGGGCTGAATTCATATATCTGTAAACCAGAACACACCAATGCCCCAAGTTGGTGCTGGGAGATATGGATATATTTGTATCATTGTACAAAGGAATACAAACTAGTATAGGTAGTGCAAACCCACAATAAGGCATCCTGATCGATCTTATTAAGACCTACTTATAGTAGCCTGAGAGAACCGAAACTGGCTTGGCAAATCCTGATTAAGAAAGTAGCAAACTGTTCTGACCAGGTGTTATCTAATACTACAAGACAGATCCGACTGGACCTCAAAAATTAGAGAAGTTGTGCGACAAAGATCTTATAAGCAAGAGGGATCTAACGACCAGGCTGCCAGATCATCTGGAGGAAAAGGTCACATGTTATGAAATTGTAAACCAAGGATTGGAAGACCTTCAGACTTGAGCTTGAAAAACTTGGGTCTGGGCAGACCAATCCTTCCAAGCCATCTAAATTGGGAGAATGACAATACCAAAAAAAGTAAGGTGTGAAAAGTGATAGAATGTAGTACAGGGGTTTGTGAACCTTAAAAGGGTAGAGTAGGTAATGGTAGGAGTTTAATAGTTACGCCCTAACTCCAAGTATATGAATTAAGGCATAGCGTAAGTTACTGAAGTCTAGATAAATACATATATGAAAATGTACCACTCTGGCAAGTTTATTTTGAGAATAAATCAGTACATATGGTTCCATTCTAAGTCTGGCTATTAATCTAGTGGTGTCGCATAAATCCATAATGTCCTGGTATACGCATAGTAAGATTACACCTAGATCTTAAGTCCTACATGGTGGAAGCAAGGATATGATCAGAGGGTTTAAATAGGTACCCCCTAGTTGGGGTACAGGTATAGCAGATAGTGTAGAACCTTTGGGCCGACTACTTAAATTAGGTACTTAAAAGGTGCATGTGTGGCTATATGTACTCTCATTGTATGCCAAAATAAAACTTAATAATAATAAATTGCTATTGACAAAGAGGTTATCTTAATACCAAAAAAAAAAAATTTGATATTTAAGAGTAATATCAAATATTATATAATATTTTTTTACTATAACTTCTCTTTATGTGAAAGAAATTTAGTTGGCTAGTTTATAAATTTATTCTAATATAAGATATCTAAGATCTTCTTACTTTCCTTAAAATATTATATAATATTTGTTAATATCTTAATGGTTTTATAATTATAAGTTTATAATATTATTCTATCACTTGTACTATTTTAATACTAATTTAGTTAAAAATTTCATAACCTCATCTACACAAGTTGAATTAATAAATAATTATATATCAAGAAACAAACCTCTTGATATGCATCTATTATTCTACTATAAATCTAGCAAATAATTATAGTATATTAGTAGTATAAAGGTTAAGTATTAGGAGATAGACTAATAATAGTAATATAACAATAATATATTGAGATATCTTGGTATTTACTCTTAATTCAAATAGTGCTAAGAGTAAAATACTAGGATGTCCCAATATATTACTGTTATGTTACTATTATTAATCTATTTTCTAATATCTAATCTTTATATTATCTTTATACTACCAATATGCTAAAGTTATTTGGCAGATCTATAATAGAATAATAGATACATATTAGGAGATTTGTATCCTAATATGTACCTGTTATTCATTGATTTAATCTGTACTATAAGCTAAAAATTCCAATTTAAATTTTATTATAAGTAATTTGTATTAGAAAATTTTCTAATTAAGTAGCAGATTATTAATTAATAAAAATTTCTATTAAAACTTCTATGCAGAAATTTAAATCTTAA